TGAGGGCTCTCTGACCCTCCCATAGACAGCAAAAGTACCAAGATGATCGACAAAGTAGTCCGTGTGACATCAGTGGTTTAACTGTAATGCTACGAAGCTACGAGAATACGTTTTTGCGCAAATAGAAGTATTCTGCGCTGACCCAGATCCGGCGCCGCCACACTGATACTGTGATACTGTCGTGAACGCACGCCCAAAGTGATGCAGTAGAGACGAAAATGTGGAATAAAGTCGTTATTTTTGTTTTCTTTGCGCAAAAAAGTATTCTCGTAGCTTCGTAGCTTTACAGTTAAACCACTGATGTCACAAGAACTACTTTGTCGATCATCTTGGTACTTTTCTGGACCTTGAACGTGGTAGTTACCTTGCTGTCTATGGGAGGGTCAGAGAGCCCTCAGATTTCATCAAAAATATCTTAAATTGTGTTCTGAAGATGAACGAAGGTCTTACGGGTTTCGAACAACACGAGGGTGAGTAATTAATGACAGAATTTTCATTTTTGGGTGAACTATCCCTTTAAAAATGAAGATACCAAAATAAATGTTTTTTAAGAACCAAAATCTAGAAGGATATAAATTCAACAGATTTTACTAACAGACTTTCCAATCTCTGTGTAAAAATAACATGATGCTGCGATCTTTCTAAAGTCATCTTTACCCCCCTGTAATTTGGCTCCAAATCTCAAGGGAAAATTGCAAACTTACTTTCCCTATAGGGACAAAATAATGACTAGAAATCCTGTAAAAGCAGCTAATATGGGAAGCTTGCATTCGCTGGATTTTCCCGCACATTCACAAGCACTACAGAACTGCTGCTACAGTGTTTATGTGCGGCACACCTCTGCAGTAGTTTGGAGCAGAGCAGGTCGTGGCAGGCCTCCTCCTCTCGTGTGATATCGGGGCCGTTATAGAGGATGCGTAACATGGCGCAGGCCAGCACCGATAAACCCAGAGCTAGATCAGCCAGGAAGGGTAGGCCACCCGACACATCCTCAGACGACTCCTGAAACAATCAGTGCAAACAAGCAAGCTTATTAAAGTTGATTTAACACGTTAATTTGGTGCGAATAATTATGAGGAAAATAACACAAGATTTAACATTGATGCGGTTGCTGATGAACATGATGCAGGACGACTGACTGTGTGATGCAGCCTATCACAATGCAGTTATATGCCCTCAAATTCAAGATATGAGCGCAAAAAATGCCCCTCTTATCATATGATATAGTTTAGCAATCTCACACAAGCAAGAGCGCAGTTTTTTTTTTTTCTAAACATCTGCACGACAGCAATTGTGATATTAATTTTATTCAGCAGTTCAATATATGTGACCCTGGAGCACAAAAGCAGTCTTAAGTCGCTGGGGTATATTTGTAGCAATAGCCAAAAATACATTGTATGGGTCAAAATTATTGATTTTTCTTTTATGCCAAAAATCATTAGGATATTAAGTAAAGATCATGTTCCATAAAGATATCTTGTGAATTTCTTACCATAAATATATTAAAACTACATTTTTGATTAGTAATATGCATTGTTAAGAACTTCATTTGGACAGCTTTAAAGGTGATTTTCTCAATATTTAGATTTTTTTGGTTCCAGTTTTCAAATAGTTGTATCTCAGCCAAATCTTGTCCTATCCTAACAAACCATACATCAATGGACAGCTTATTTATTCAGCTTTCAGATGATGCATAAATCTCAATTTTGAATAATTGACACTTAAGACTTTAGGTTTTGTGGTCCAGGGTCACAAATAAGTTAATATTGTTACATTTAAGACACAATATTATCAGTAGTATCCGTTTTGCTCAATTTCACCAACAAAGCCACAGCAGAAAAGCCGTGCATCTTTGAGCAACACACAGCGCTGTTTTGTTACTGAATGATTCAGTGACCCACGCATAAAGAGCAGTTTTGAACAAATCGAGCGAGCAAATGATTCAGTGCGACCCATTAATAAAGACAGTGAATTAATCTATCATTTGAATTAATTGGTTGCATAAATACCTGAATGACTCACTCATTTAAAAAAAAAAAAAAAAAAACTCATGAATACCCATTTATTATAATTATTTGTCTATTCAATGCTTTAAAACACAATACTGGCTTAAAATAATCTTTTGGGGGGTTATTTCTCAGCCAAAATTGATGTGTGATTAATTTGCCATTAATTAGACTAATTAATTGGCACATCATGTAATGAATTAGATTAAATAACAAATTAATCACTCAACAGCCCTAATTTTATTTTAAATTTCCCTTTAAAATTCAATTTAATGTTTTTGCTGAGCCCCAAACTCCATAGTGTGTTTTTGATGTCCACAAAGCTATAAAATTAAATATATGATATTGGTAAAATATATTGGTCGCCGTTAGCTAAAGCATTAACAAATGGGACTTTATTGTAAAATATGGCAGATGTATTTAAACTTTTTGAATAACAATAAAATTATATATGCTTTTGAATTTTTACACTTTTCTTTGATCCATCTACCAAATCAGTTAAAACATGTAATTTTGCAGCTGACCATACGTTAGCAACCAGTTAAGTATTTTAAACTATACTTTATAAACAAAGTAAATAATTTAAATACGTCCATGCATTAGTCAGTTTAATTTATACTTTTGGATTGATAAACTATAATTGATTCCATCACTTTTGTGATTGGCAAATCCTTAATAAAGCAATAAGTGCCTAAAACCCCCTTAGCCGTTATAAATTCACTGTAAACCACGGCTTCACAGGGATTATTGCTTTTATAAAACGGTTATTCCATATACGTAGTTAGGTCTCACAGAATAAAACAGAGCAAATAAAGTGTAATGATATTAATAAAAACAGTATTCTTCCGCCAAACAATGTAGTTCCTCAGAAACAGATGTGGTTGCAACAAAGTGGTTGCAGAGCAACACACAGAAGTAAACAAAGGTGTGTGTTTGTAGAGTAATTTACAACAGCTTCGAACGTGGCTCAGCCAATCAGAATCAAGGACCGGAACTCTCCGTTTTATTATACATTCCAATATGCGTTTGTTTAAATGAAAATCAAATAATTAGCACAATCTCAATAGTTTTCCTATACATTAAAGTTTTAATACAGTTTTTTCGTATAGTTTTAGTATATAATAATAACCCTGCAACCAGGATGTTTGTTGGAAAACACATTTGTTGAACGAAGTAAATTAACTTCTACTAGGCGTTTAATTTTTTCACTGTAAATGTTATGATTGGGATGCATTTAAAAGCTCGGTACCTGTGCTCGGACAGTGCATGAGAAACCCCACATGGCTTTATCTGGGGTGTTGTGCTCGCGTCCGCTTCTCATCTCAAAAGAGAACGTCACAGTATCTCCTTCCACCTGAAAATACAACAGATTAGAAGCAGTGATATTTAATATCTGTAGATTGTCTGAATGAATCAGAATGTGCTTTATTCACTTATTCATCATGATTTCCAGAAGCACTAGTTAGTTACATACACACATACTTAATTATTCCTCTCTATTCTCTGGTGTATAAATACAATTAAATAAAAACAAAGTAATATACATCTAGAAAAATTAAATAAGTAGAATTAAGGTAGAAAAACGTACAGTATTATATATATGACCCTGGAGCACAAAACCAGTCATAAATAGGAAATATATAGAAACTCTCTGGTCATTTTTGAGAGAGATGCTAACGGTCTAATCAGATTCAATGATCTATGCTAAGCTACAGCTAAAAGTGCTACCGCCAGACCCGGAGATCGGCTGAATGGATTAGAAAACGGTAAAACTGAACTGTTTAACTCTAGGGGAGTTGGAAAATGAGCCTATTTTCAAAAATAGTGGAGTGTTCCTTTAAGCATTGGACTTCATTAAGAGCCCAGCAGGCTTTTCCTGAAAGCATTGTATCAGATATCCTCACCTTGACCAGATCTTTGGGCCATCCAGTTCCTAAGACACTGCGGCTACCGTAACCCATGGTGTTTCCTCCATACTCGCTCACTTTACGACTATTCGTGTTTGGTCCGGCGTAAACCACCAGCTGAATGACAAGAGAATTGCGAGTGTGAATATTCAACATGACACTTTCATTCCACTGTGAATGAGAACAGCAGAAACGTGAAACCTTGTCATAGTCGTATTGTGAGGAGCAGCGAGGGTCAAAGCGGAGGTAGAGACACCGAGCTCCAGGGATGTGCACGGTTTCTTTAAACTTGTAGTTATCTCGCACCGGATGAGCGGTTTCCACTGTTTTCCCAGCAGCCCATGGGGCAGGGATCTTCAGGCCGGTCAGAAAGCCCGGCTCCTCTCTCTCTTCCAGAATCTGGAAACTGAAATTTCATTTTTTTGGTTTGAATAATCTAGATGCTTTTGTCCAACGTGTTTCTTTTGATATAATAAAAAAACTACAAAACTGGAAAAGTTTATAAATAATGTACCTGTCATTTAATGAGGGTGGATTGGAGCTTTGATTTAGCGGCGAATTCTCAACAAATAATGGTGAATGTGTCTTCAGCAGCAAAGCAGTCTGTTGGATAGACAGACACAGAGCAGTCAATACAACAATGTCAACGGGTCATGATTTATTATTTTAACTTGGAAAATCCTAGGTTTTTTTTTTTTATTATAAATGGGGGGGGGGGGGCTTTTTTTCAATAAGCATGCATTAAA